GAAGCGAGCTGGGGTCGGGGGGTGTGCTGCGCTTCCCACCACGGCGGGTCGGGAGAAGTGGACTTCTTTAGTAAGTGCTTAAAGGAAGAACAGATACCATGCGGCAAACATGGAGAGATGTTTCGGATGACCCTCTGCGCTCCTTTCCTTTTTGTGTGGTATGACCAGTTTGTCCTCCCTGAGGCAGGGCTGTGTTGTTACGATTAAAAGGATAGGGTCTGTGAATATAACAAAAAGCAACCGTATCTTTGCTGGAAGTAACAAAACCTATAAACTTATACGCCGTGTTTTGACATCCCTGATAGCATACCTATTTGTTCTCCTGCAGTTCGAGTCGTGTTTCCCCTAGTGTAGCCGGACCGTGGAGGTGAATGCTGAGCTGGTGCTTAGCTCTGTGTGAGCTCGTTGGCCTGCCCTTGGGTCAAAGCTTAGAAAAGCTTCTTAGCAGTCTTCTCTTCAGTCTGTGTATTTCTTTGTTCAGCAAGGATCCTCAAAAAATTTGCACTTGTTTTGAGCATTGGGTCTTTCAAACTCTCACTTGAAGCTAGCCGGCAGGTTGACAAATTATTGGGGTGGGGAAGCGGAGTGTGACTAGATATTGTCAGACATCTGCTTTCCTGGGAAGGTGACTGACTAAGAGTGCAAATTACTGGTGAACTTGGTCTTGAAGCATGTTACACTTTACAATGTTTATCGTATATTCTAGCTCTACTTATAAGTAGGTTTCCCAACAGAGTTCTTAAGAAGAGTGTGCGTTGTTTATTTTTAATAAGAAACTTTCTAAGAAGGAGAGGGAGAACTGGGATAAAACTCTTCTAAGAATGAGTTGCAAAATAAAGGTGGAAAAGGAACTTGAGTGCATTAAACCTGGAGGGGAACTGTTTGGAAAGCTGTCTTAAAAGTGTTTCTACAGCTTACTGTATATCATAGTATAGCTTTATTTTAAACACATACTAAAATAAATAGCTGTCTTGGTGAGACAATTGCATTGTATTGGTTTTTTTTTTCCCCCCCCAGATCCCTCATATCTGTTTAAAAAGACCAGAAGCATAAAATGACCTGACTTTTCATAGACAATACCTTAGCTCTGTTTGCCTGTTACTATCTCCATTAATAAATGGAGAAGGAAATTCTTAATTTGGTACATGTGCTAGAGTAAGGACTAGTCTCTTAAGTATTCTCAATAACATGGAATTTTAAAGGTTAGATGTACTAGGAAAATGTTTAATGTAAAGAATTTCAAAGCAATCTTCTAATAGCTCTAGGCATCTGGCCCTCAGGAAGTTGAGGTTCTGCTTATATGTATTTGATATATGAACACAAAACTCGCTCATTGAAGCAGATGAGCTACATAAAATATCTGACACAATGCATCTTTCGGGAGATAATTCAGTTATGAAAGGCTGAGGTGAAATTGGAAAAAAATTGGCATAATTAAAATGATAGAGTTTTTAACAAGACTTAATCTCCAAGTACTGTTCTGAGGGAATGCAGAAAACCATTCTATAAGCAAACACATCTACTAAAAGAAATTCTTAATGACTTTTAAGTGTCTGTCTTGGAAATAGAAAGCCTGATTCAAAAAGTCAGTGCTTAGCACTTCTTTACAGTGAGCTCTGGGGGAAGTCATGCAAGGTGTTGTGACAGGTTTCCTTGGGAATCAGCTCATGGTCAGGGTTAAACACTATTTTATGTTTTCTATGATGACTTCCAAGTTTTGCGAAGGGTTAGCAGATAAGTTTTATTATAATTGTTTGTATTAAAGTATTAAACCCTACTGAACAAATTGTACTTAGTTCAGTGGCACAGATGACATTCTCACTGAGTCTGCTTTCAGCTCTGTACTTAGATTCTTCCAGAATCCTGTGAAACTTGAACTTGTATATCCAAAAGCAGTGCAAAACACATTTGTCTTTTGAATATGGTATTCTTAAAATGGAAAAGGGGTAGAGAAAGCTAGTAAAAAATGAGAGGGGAAAAAAACTTACTGTAGTTTCATTATCTCCATAAGGATGAAGGGACTTGGATTAAGTGAAATAGTTGTAACTGATCTTGTGAAGCTAGCGCTGTTTTTCAGTGTAGAGGCAATGTGCTGTCAGGGGACAGGGGATGTCTTCCAAGGAAGTGAAAGCGTGTGGCGGGGTAAGGGTGAAAGTGCTTGCACATGTTTTAAGAAAGTTCAAAGCTCTGCTTCATTAGACCTCTGATGACCTTTGCTGTGACTGTATGTTTCTACTTAAAATGCTATGGTTAGTTAGTCAACTTCCTATAAATCATGTAATAGTATAATTTGTATGTAATAAGTTAACCCTGGTTCCTCTGGTGAACTGATCTGGGAAATGAGACTGGCTGAAAATTCTTCCCTCCCTCTTCACAGTTGAACTTATCTCTGTGCTGGGTCCCTGTATGGATCCCCAAGGCTCTGTTGGGAGCCAGGGTTAACCCAGGAGAAGGTTTGGGATGGGTAGAAAGGGAAGGAGCGAAGCCGAGTAGAACCATCCTGTCTGTCCAGCTGCAGCTCCTCAGAGAAGCTTGCCTGTTTATAAAGTCAAGCAGGAGGCAAGCGTGTTTAAGAAGAATGTATACACCTGAGGGTTTTTTCCCAGTGTGTAATATGGAAGCCCATATTTTTGATTACTGTGCTGTATCCTTCTGTTGAGACTGGCAGGTTTAAAGGGTTCTATAATCGAAGTTAGTGGATCTGTGGTGATTGGAGACTGATGGCTTGTAAATTTAGCAGTGAAATAGCTGGATTTTTTTTTTTGTCCAGGAGAAAAGCAACAATTCATGTTCATGTCTTAATTCCTTTCTGGAGACCAGAGTGAATGAATAACTAGCTTCCTGCTTGGGGCTCGTTTAGATTTTTAGTGGTATGCTCTGCAGCTCCTGTTCTCTTAGTATGGGCCTTAGGGTCTGCATAGCACAGAACTTCCTCACTTTCTGTTAACTAATCCCTTGAATAGTTGTTTCAAATAAGAGATTCATTCAGAAATGTTAATTCTGTTGCAGCATATGCTTTAGGGTGGGCCTTGTTTCATTTGTTAATTAATAAATTGGAGGAAGATATAAAACTAATGCAATTATATCATTCTAAGTCTGCAATTCTGTTTTTGACAGTTTTCTGTTTGGAAGACCAATTCTAAACCTCAGGCTGAGTTGGAATTTGTTTCTTGTGGCAGCCCTATGCCATAACCTGCTGTAAAGCAGTTTCTTGACCTGCTGCCTAGAGAGCAGCTTAATGATGCTGTTAGCATGTTGTGTGAATAGTAAAGATCTGCTTGACTAATGGCATTTTCTTTTTTTCCCCAGTAAGTTTACCTCAATGGTATGAGGATATTGGGTTAGAGGGCTGGATTTAATTTTGTTAGGGCTTCTACAGTTTGTTAAATATGTAAATCAAGAGGCTTAATAAGTCTAGGAATTTCTTCAAAAAGGAGGAATTTTTATTCTAGCTTTTTCAGAACTGCAAGTTGTCACAAAGTAGTTTGGAGTAAAGTATGATTTTTCTTTCTGTAATCTATATTATTTCGGTGAGTACAGATGAAACTCACAAACACCAATCTTTCTCTGCAGGTTTTTTCTTCCTGCTCCTGAAGGATTTGCTTTAAAACTGAAAAGCTTAGTTAGCATTTGGTACAGACATGTAGGAATGATTTTCTTAATATCTGATTTACCTTGTGTATTTCTTCTGAACAGTTGAATGTTTCCTGTATTATTAGCAAACAACTTATCTTTGAGTGGCTTAGATACATGGGTAATTATTGAGATAAAGGGTGTCTACCCAATTATTACTTAGATGTAAAACTTGAAGAAGCATGAGTAAGTTTGGGTTTAGTGCTGTTCTGCAGTGAGGAACATTACTGTTTTAACTTAGAGTGCCTGTTTCTTTCCAGAATTCACTGAACACTCCGTGCAGTGAGTGACCAGCTTTCTTAATGGACCAAATACTGTTTCAAATATCTCTAGTCTAATTAATATTATCAGTACTTTTTAACAAAGAGATATGCAGTGCAGTTCTACCAATCACTTACTAACAGGAAACCTTTCTTCTCATTATAGGTCATGTATAGCCTTTGGACCCAAGAATCGCTCGATTGGCGCTGCAGCTAAAAGCCAGGTGAGTGTGTAGCTTGAGTAAAAGCAACTTTAGTAGTCAAAAATCCAATTAGCAGAATGTATTTTTTTTATCATTGAAGACTACAAATGTCTCTGAGCTGGTGCCTAGTGTCTCCATAACTGTAATGAACAGCTGAGCTTAATCCAGCTGTTCAGCATGTAATGCTGCTTTGTCATCTTGGATAGAAATCAAAGGGTTGATAGATGCACTTAATGAAATGTAAAAAAACCACAAACAGACAAAAAAACCCAAATGAAACCAAACCAAACCAAAACAGAAAACCAAAAACCACCAAAAAACTTTGCCTCTTAAGAAATTCTGATAAATACTAATTTTTTTTTTAGGTTGCAAATGTAAATTCTAAGGCTAAGCAGTAGTGTTTCATCCTACCTTAGCTTGTTCCAGTTTGTGTGCATTATGATAGCTTTTAATTACATGGTTGCATTCTATAGAATTCCATTAAGTGCATAATTTTGGCAGAAAGGGGACATACTTGAGTGTAAATACATATTGCTTTCTTGACTCTTTGTGGTTGAATTACAATCTAAATCTCTATCTCAGATGTTCTTGCTTATATTTTGAGTTTCTGTTGGTGTAGGTAGGTAAATACGACTTAAGGACTGAGAAGAAGTTAAGCTGATTTGTCCTGCTCGTGACATTTGGGTCCTGCTGTATTGTATCTTGTGTTGCTGTGAAACCTCTATAAAACATGATTCTTTTTTTGAAGTCCTCTACAGGAAGTGACTATTCAAACACTTGGTTTTTTCTTAGCCTAAAATACCTAGAGATGTGTGAAGATTTATTATCTAGAATACAAAAATGATTGGACACAACCATGTTATTCAAGAACAGAAGAACTGTGCTAGAACTAAATACAGATGTTTTTTCTGGAATTGAGTGTCTGCTTAGCTTAAAGAAATTCATTGATACAGAGATCCAGTAGAGATGAGGTATGTCCTGCAGAAACTAAACTTACAGAAAATCAAACCCAGGTTAATTAGGAAATAGACACTTGACTGAAACTGATCACAGGTAAATGTTACATGGTACAGTGCTTGTCTGCTTTGTCAATTACTGTGCTTTTTTCAGTATGTGTCTTGCTCTAATATAAATGAAAGAATTAAACAAGTTTACTTGCACTACATGAAAACAAGCTATAATGATTGTTCACTTCTCCATTTGCACTGATCTCTGCTATTAATAAAAGACAATCTACCTTTTGTCAGTTAAATCAAGTTGACAGTATCATCTTGGGGCCCTCCTGACTTCTTAAAGCTTCATGACAAGGTCCTTGAGCTGTTTTGTGAGAATATCTGTGTTGACTGTCACATGCATGTGATGAACCTGAACTGGAGTTTACATCAATATGCTTGTTATGTTTGCTAAATTACTGGCTGCAGCACAGTAACACAGTAGAAAGGTAGGGTGGTAGGAAACGGGTAAATGGGAAAGACACTTGGTTAACAATTTTAAATTGTCCTACACATACACTATGAAAATTGAGTGCTATTTTAATCAGTTTTTGATAGGATCTTGGCTCAGTTTTCTAGCATACATCTTATTTTAAATCTCAGATTCCTGTAGGTTGCCTGAACAATCAGAAGGAAGTTGCCTTCTAGCAACTGCCCTGATACTATTAAGATACAAATGACAAAAATATTCTGGCGAGGCAAGCATGAGAACAAAACTCTTGTCTTCTGTTTGAAATTCAGATGTTCCCTTGACACGTTGTATTAAAGATTTCTTTTCCTCTAGGTTATTTCAAATGCAAAGAATACAGTACAAAGTTTTAAAAGATTTCATGGTCGTGCATTCTCAGATCCCTTTGTTCAAGCTGAAAAAGCAAGCCTTGCCTATGAACTTGTCCAGCTGCCAACAGGCTCAACTGGCATCAAGGTAAGTCTGGCATATTTGAAGAAGAGCCAGAGGAGGAAACTGATAAAGTTTCCTTTTATCTCTTTATTTTGAAACTGCTTGCTGTAGTTTCTGTTCTCTTGTGAATGGAGAGTCTTAAATAGGGAATAAAAGACTAACAATACAGATGGTCTCTCCAGGTGTTAGGTGAGACTGATTTTACAGTTACACAATTTCTGTCTTGCAAAGCCAGTCTCACACAAACTGTTTTAGCAGTGCTTTTTTCCTTCACTCCATGGTGAATTTGGAAGACAGACTACTTGACCAGTGTACTTATTTAGCTGCTGTCCAGATACTGCAAGGGTGTAAGATGTCAGCTTAGTACTTCAGGTGAAATGGTAAAAATTTGTCTTTTTCAACAATGGCTGAACTTCTGATTTGGATTTTAGCAATAACTAATTAACTTACTCCAAAACAGTAGAGAGGAAGGCATCCTAGGTATTGTCTAGCAGTTGGGATTAAAAAAAAAAAATTTGTGTTCAGAGCAGCCTTGTGTATGCAAATTCTTAAATGTGTGTTCCAGTGCTTATGTATTATCTTCTTGCACTTGCTGTGCACAAGCTAGGCTGTCAGAGAGAAGAGTGCATAGAGCTGCATTGCTTTTTAAGCCTGCTTTTAGTAAAGACTGTTTCTTGCATGTGTTCCTTATGTTTGTAGTGCATGGTTTTTACTGTAGTGTAATATGTGCGTACACAATTTTTATTTGAAGGCCATGTATATGGAAGAAGAAAGAAACTTTACTATTGAACAGGTGACAGGAATGCTTCTTACCAAATTAAAAGAGACTGCTGAGAATGCGCTTAAGAAGCCTGTAGTTGACTGTGTTGTTTCTGTAAGTATATGGTAGTAAATAAGCAAATATGTGGTTAGTATCATAAGAGATTGCTGGTAATAGCATTAAATTGCCCATTAAACCTGAATATTCAGGTCTTTGTCTTTTCTATTTAAAAGTGACTCTTACTTGGATCTCTTCTCCAGAATTCAGCTTACTTTATTAATGGTGAAATGTCTTAAATTGCTGCTAATTAGCAGCATAAATAATATTTGATACCTGTTTCTGGTTCTTTGCTCTTAAAATGAGTGGCGTGTGAGAAGGAATGGAATAAGATTCACAAAAAGTAAATTTGTCTTCATGTAATGTTTTCTTTGCTTTTTCTCTATTGCAACTGAAATGAACATTAAAATTGAATGATACGTCAGCTGTTCTCTATACTGAATCCCTATACACACTTGTTGTAACTATTTGCTAAAGACGGCTCTTTTAAGTATTAATATTAGCTATCTGATTTTGTAGGTTCCTTGTTTCTACACAGATGCAGAAAGGAGATCTGTGATGGATGCTACACAGATCGCTGGTCTCAACTGTCTGAGACTAATAAATGAAACAACTGCAGGTAATACCTTCCTTTTTCTCCCTCACTTAATACTACAGTTTTGTTAGATAAAAGGGCTCTTAATCTGTCACTGATCCATGCCCTCTGGAATTACTGCCATTTTGTAAACTTAAAATAGATTAGTTGATCATAAAGCTTCTTAAGCTCTGATTTTTTTTTTATTGCTTTACAGAGGCATAAAGATATTTCTTGAATAGCTGTTTTAATGAGGCTACTAGGAGGGGCTAATGCTGTTTAATGTTCTTCCATGTTCCTTTAGCATTGGGAATTTTGTTTAACGAGATACCAATTTCTGTAGTTTGAAAAGTAAGATGAAATGCTAATGCTGTTTAATGATGTACCATTTATTTCTTAGGGAATTACAAAACTGAATGTCCTAACTATATTCTTTGACTCTTCTTTCTGTGTAGTTGCCCTTGCATATGGAATCTATAAGCAAGACCTGCCTGCCTTGGAAGAGAAGCCACGGAATGTTGTTTTTGTGGATATGGGGCATTCTGCATATCAAGTTTCTGTTTGTGCATTCAACAAAGGAAAACTGAAAGTAAACAATCTGTTATGCATCCATTTTAATCACCAGTAGAAATAAATATTCATCAGTACATACATGGACTGTGACAGGCAAGCTTGGCTGTCTCTACATAAGCACATCCAGACAGCTCACTTCATATTCTTAGAATTGCACTTTGTCTGGAGTTAAAAGTAGGGCAGGGAACTAGAGAGCTTTTGAGCGATATGTGGAGGAAGCAAATATGCCTTAATCAGCAGACTTTGGCAAAGAATAAAAAACCTGGATTAAATTATTTATTCAGAAATTATCATATCTGACTGGATGCTGCTTTCAAAAAATACTCTAGTTCAGTCATGAGATCTAGCATTAAACCAGGAATTCCTAGAATGGTGTAAGTTACAAACACTTTTTTAACACTCACTGTGGTGCTCATGTGAAAGAGTAAAAACATTCTTAATTATGTGAAGCTGCAAATGGAAGCTAAGCAAGTTACAGTGTACTTCTAAGTGTAAGTTAGTATTGCTATTTTCCAGCAAATACTAACATTTCTTAGTTGGCTCTTTTATAATTACAATCTGGATTTTTGCAGTTCCAATACCTTTCTCTTAATCGGCTAAAGAAACAAACACAAATTTTAAAGCATGCGTAGTGAAATGAAGAGAAGGCAAGAGTTCTGAAAATAGTCGTTTTGTTGTAGTTCTGTTTCCTCTTGTGAGGAAACGTAACCTACTTCGTGTTTCTCTCAGATTGGTCTTTTAAACTTTGAAACCATAGAAGTATTGAAGGGATGCTTTTGAGTATGGAGAGCTGGACAGCAAGGCAGTTAATATAGTGTAGAGACCAAACGTAGTCTGAAAGAGTATGGAGAATAATATGATACTTCACTGATTTCTATTCCTAAAAAAAAAATCAAGTTTGCAATATGTTTAAAGAGTAGAATCAGCTGAGGTGGATGGGCTACAGATGTTCTTTGTAGGTAATTCCTTCATCAAAAATGAGCACCTATTTGCAAGAGTTAATAATATTTATTCTCTTCATGCTTTATTTTTAGCTTGATGTAAGCATGTTCCACCCTTATGAGGCATCAAATATTAAACTGGGATATGATTCAAATTGACAGTGGCTGAACAAAGTTTGGAAGCTCCGATGGTCTGCTTACAGTACAAGTTACTGAACAGATTGCGTTGCTAAGCCTTGCCCTATCTTGCTGAATTTCTTCTAAAAGTTGTCACCTTATTACAGGAAGGCTGGGTGCCCAAGGCTAGTTTTTGGCATTTGAGGTAGCAGATGTTTTTTTTTCTCCTGGAGCTTGTAGCTGCTGTATGTGTGCACTGCAATTCTTGTTGAGAATTACCATTCAAAAGAGGTCCAATATTTGTGTAGCCGCCGGAATTTGCCCATGGTAATGGTGGTTCTTTCTCTGACAGCATTTTGAACATATCGTATCTAGTATCAGCTACAAATGGCATAGGATAATAATGATTTAGACTTGGCAGGCTTTAAAAAAAAAACAAACATCTCTTAGGATGTGCATGACTATTACTGTAGTTGCAATCCACATAAACTGTTAGTGATGCAATTGCTACTTAGATTGCCCTGAAATATAAGAGAATAGCTTAATTGTTGCCAGCAGTGTCCATGAAAGATGAGTATGGGACATAGGTTAGACTTATAGATGAGGCTTATCAAAAGAAATTCCTCACTGATGATAGCAAGGGCAGAATAAAAATGAACTGTACTGGATTTTTCCTGTTGTGGCTGCACCAGTATAATTCTTCTTCTGTAGTATTGTTGTGATATTTACTTTGATTTAAAGTTGGACTGCATTTGAAACAATGAAATGCTTTGACACTAACTGCTAATTGGTTTCACAGAAGTAATGACAAATTGTACTATTACTGAAGAGTTCAATTTTTTTAAGGTTCTTGCTACATCATTTGATACAACACTTGGAGGCAGGAAGTTTGATGAGATGTTAGTTGAATACTTTTGTGAAGAATTTGGAAAGAAATATAAACTAGACATAAAGTCAAAGATTCGTGCGTTGTTGAGGCTACACCAGGAATGTGAAAAACTGAAAAAATTGATGAGCGCTAATGCCTCTGATCTCCCGATGAATATAGAATGCTTCATGAATGACATAGATGTCTCTGGAACAATGAACAGGTAACATTAATACTTTTACAAAGGTAAGCTTTAGAATGCCCTTCATTCAAATCGCTTCAGTCAAGAAAAACTTAGTATAAAGTACCAGTTCTTAGGACTGGAGGGAGGTGGGAAATGTAAGAACAATATGTGCAGGGGTGCTGCTCAAAATGATAATGTTGGGAGAGTGGTGGCCTTGAGTTAGGAGGAAGGGTTGTGAATGTTGCAAGTGTGCCTAGATTACTAGAACCAAGTTTGTCTGGGAGGATATACTAAATAACTAGAAAACTAAGATTGGGAAGAGGGAAAACCTTGCAGTACATAATTAAAATGGCATTCTTTCAATTTTGGCATCCTGTTGTATTTGCAGTATTAACTTGTTTATGGAATGCTATAGCTTTATTTATGGCTTCTTCCAACAGAAGCAAATTTTTAGAGATGTGTGATGGACTCCTTGCAAGAGTAGAACTACCCCTTCGCAGTGTGCTGGAGCAAGCCAGTAAGTGTATGCGCATTCTGTATTCTGCATACGGAAAAGCGATCCATAATACAAGCTTCCTTTAGGTGTTGACAGAACTTGGACAGATGGATTTAGCATGGCTAACAATTTCTTGCTTAGCAGTTGCAAGCTTTTTAAAACTTTTTCACACAAGCTAAGATCTGAAATTCTTATTGCTTAGAAACTTAGAGAACAAGCTTAAAATAATGGTTGGTCTAGTAAAACTTGTAGTTTACAATGTCAGCATATTCACTTAAAACAGAAACATTTAATCTATAAAAACTAATATCTGACTCCTTTCTAGAGTTAAAGAAGGAGGATATTTATGCAGTAGAGATAGTTGGTGGTACCACAAGAATCCCTGCTGTAAAAGAGAAGATCAGTAAATTTTTTGGCAAAGAAGTCAGTACAACTTTGAATGCAGATGAGGCTGTTGCACGAGGTTGTGCTCTGCAGGTAAAAAGTACTGTGTGTTGAATATTTTTATTGAAATCCATAAATATTTGAGCCAGAGCCCCCAGGTAACATGAAAGATATTTCATCTGTATCACAGAATGGATTCGAATAGGCTTCAGGAAAGTGGTTGGAAGAATGAGAATAGCAGCTTTAAGTGATTCCTTTGTGCTGTTTGTCTAAGCCAAATCAGTGGATCAGCATAGCTTGTTGAAGTAAAACATGTAGTCTGCTTCTGCTATGGCTGGAAACTGGTAGTCTGATAAAGCTCGTATGATGATGTTTTCCCCTCCGGGCTCTTCCTGGGGCCTGGGTTAAACAGGGAAAAAAGGTTTTTACAGGACTACTGATAAACTTGTGATATGGCAATTGCGTAATAACATGGATGGAAATGAAAACTTAGGTTCTTGCTAATGGAAATATGTGTCCTGAGCTGGAATCAGTCACTGTTGAATGGCTTAAGCAGTAGTAAATACTCTGTAGTTACTAGTGCTACCATTTGTTGAATGCACCTTAATTTTGCTCTGATCACCTCATCTCTCTCACCTAATTTCTCTCTTCAAATGTTTAATGTGTGCTTAGAGCTCTGTTCCATCAGTGGTACGAACTATTGGAATCTGCTTAAAAAGAGAATTTTGTGTTACAGTATGCAAAAAAAACCCTAGTACTACGTCACTCTAAAAAGTAACTTTAATTGAGGTTTTCTGAATTCTTAAACAATTCAGTAGCCTAACCATAGCAAACCAAACATGATGGCTCTAAATTAAAACTTGTGTATTTCCATTTTCAGAGTGAACAGATTGTGACAGCTTCCTGAAAAGGAAGGGTACATATGAGTTTCCAGTGCTTATGCAGGTCCCAAGTCCATCAGTATTAGTCTCCCTTAACCTAGAGTAAATCTACATATTAAACAGTGTAAATAGTTACTTGCTGAGTTGAATTACTATTCACCTGAAGTTTGACTGTTTGTAATATGACTCTTGTGCTCTTTCAGTGTGCTATTTTATCCCCGGCTTTCAAAGTGAGAGAATTTTCTATCACAGATTTGATACCGTATCCTATTTCTTTACGATGGAATTCACCAGCAGAGGAAGGGTTAAGGTAAAAAAAGATGTTCAATCTTCTTGCATGATTACATACAACTTAAAACTAACTGATGACAACTAGAGTAAATGACACTTTTAGAACAGTGCTTATTTAACAATTTAAATTTTGATACGTTTTCTGAAGTTAATGACAGTAGAAAACAAAACCAAGGATGGATGGCAGTTTAGCACTTCTGTTGGTCTTATTATAACCTAAAAGGTTAGGAGGCTCTTTTGTCACTTCTTGAAGAAGTTTTTCCTTGAGGTATAAGAGCGTCTAGAAAAGCTTTGTTAACTTTATCAGATGCATTATCCCACATAGTGAACAAATGTTCTGTTTTTTCTTACAGTGACTGTGAGGTCTTTCCGAAGAACCATGCTGCTCCATTTTCTAAAGTCCTCACATTCTACAGAAAGGAACCTTTTACTCTTGAGGCATACTACAGTTCTCCCAAGGAGCTGCCTTATCCAGATCCTGCTATAGGTTAAGACCATTCTGTAGCTTTAGGCTTTATTAATCGTCTTGTACATGTTTCAGGACTTCTTTTTGTCTAATTATATAGTCTGGAAAGTGCAACCTACTATACATGCTGTAGGGACAGGTGTCCGAAATCGTGGATCTACAGTAAAATGAGTGGAGTAACATGAAATTTATGGACAAATAGGCTAGATAAAGAGCATCCTAATGTTAGAGTATATGAAAGGGGCATACTTAGAATTGTGCAGTCTTTTACTATGATACAAGTAACACCAGCTTTTACAGTATACTGTAGAGAATTTCTAATAGCTGTGTATCCTAGCATTGCTGAGTAAAAAATTGAATTGTTTGACTTGAATAGGATTTGATATCCTCTGAGCGCATTGCAGTGATCTGTTGTCAGCAACAGTCAGATTTTACTTTATGTTCAGTGATTAAGTTAACCAAATGATACGTTTTTTCTCTCTGGGATTGTTCAGCTCACTTCTTGGTTCAGAAGGTCACTCCTCAAACAGATGGATCCAGTTCAAAAGTGAAAGTCAAAGTTAGAGTAAATATCCACGGCATCTTCAGTGTTTCAAGTGCATCTTTAGTGGAGGTTCATAAATCTGATGAGAATGAAGAGCCTATGGAAACAGATCAGCATACAAAAGAGGAAGAGGTAATAGACTTCACTGCTCTTAGCTACTTAGAAAACTGATGAAGCACAACTGGTCAGGTTCTGGGAAGGTTCTAAGACTTGTGTGAGGATTTAGTAGATGTGTCCAGAAACTGAAATATCAAGATGTGATTAAGTACTAATTGAAGTATGTCATGCCAGTGACAGATCTCTTGAAACCAGGACTGGGAGGTATAGATGAAATTCTTAATCATGCCAGGAGTGAGCTGTTTCTTGCCTAAGCAAAGACTAGAAGTTTATAATTTATGCCTTGAGACTCTACTTCAGTTTTCATTCTGTTTCTTCTTTTGTCTAAAGAGCATTAGATTTAAGTGATCAGCCTAAGAACTGAAGTAATGATCTGCATATGCATTGTTCAGTATGTCAAACTGGATCTCTCTATGAATTTCAGAAGATGCAAGTAGACCAGGAAGAGCAACAAAAGACTGAAGAACAACAGCCGGCTCAACCTGAAAATAAGGCAGAGTCTGAAGAAATGGAGGTAACATGAACATCTGAGAGATTTCTGTTTTCTTAGAGGATACTTCTGGAAGATTCATAAGAATATGTAGTGTGTGAGCCTATCTGCTGCCTTTGCCATAGCTCTGGAAGCTAAACTTTTATTTGAGTATATTGGTAGTCTGTATTGTGATTAGAGCTGTGGAAGTATATAAATGGCATGAATAACAGCAGGCCTGTCTAGTGACCTAGTACTGATAAAAATGGGTGAACTCTCCTGTTCATGGAAGAAATAATCATTTAGATTTCAGTAACTTAAGTACTAGAAAAGTGTTCTACTACAAGCACCATCACCCTCGTGAATGTAGTCGGTGTGCCCAGAAAAGGTTAGTAGTTGCGTTAATTATCTCTGACTTCTTCAGAGCTGAAGTGTCAGAATGACAGATAGTAGTATGTAGTTCTGATGTTGAGGTCTACTGATTCAATAATACTTTTTCTATTATAAGTCTTGAATACTCAGCTTGAACTGACTAGTGATGCTGGTTTTACTTTGAATATATTTCTTTAATGCAGACTTCTCAGGCTGACTCAAAAGACAAGAAGGTGGATCAGCCGCCTCAAGCCAAGAAGGCTAAAGTAAAGACGACTACAGTGGACCTTCCCATTGAGAACCAGTTGGTGTGGCAGATAGGGAACATTGAGAATGAGGTAAACTCTTACTTGCCCAAGCTAAAAATATCACTAGTTGATCTCCAGAAATTTTTCTGTTCATTAAATATGGTTAATGTTCGAGGGTAATCAAGGAAAGAAGAAAAGGAAGGAAAAAAACCCATGCAGTTTCTTCTGAGGTGAACAACAGTGCCACATGGAGCCAAAATATATTATTCTTGTTAATTGAGTGCTGTAACTTTTACTGAAGAGGTGGTCTGCAGGAAGGCTAGTTCACAAGGTGGTTTAGTTTCAAAATCAGCTGCAGGTACAAGGTACTCGATGGCTGCTACCACCAGGGTGAAGGTTCCTCAACTGGAGCAAGATTGTTCTGTACTGTATTGGATATCCTATCAAAACTGAAATTAGTTTTTATTCATGTGTTTGTGTTTAGAACAGTTCTGTAAACTACAGTATTTAAAAATCTTTAGTCAAACTTAAGCCTTTGCTGACAAGGTATACTGGCTTTTTAGCCAACTAATTTGACAACTTGTTCACAGGGTAAAATGATTATGCAGGATAAGCTAGAGAAGGAGAGGAATGATGCCAAGAATGCAGTGGAAGAATATGTGTATGATATGAGAGATAAACTCTGCGGTGTTTATGAGAAATTCGTTAGTGAAGATGTAAGTATTTCTAGCTTGATTGTCTTCTAATATATTTTGTTGCAATGAACAGTTGTATTTTACTAACCTTAGACCTGTATCAGATCCGATGTTTATTTAGACTGTATTTTCAGACTTTAAATTTGGAGAAATAGCTTTTAACCTTTCTAGCTATGAAGATAACCTTCTAAACGTGGCCCAAGTACAAGCAGATGGTACCCAGGATGTATTGTGTGTTCTTTTCCAAAACAGTTGCAGTAATTAAGATACTATCAGAGCATGTGTTTTCAGACTGAAACAGACTAGGAGCACTTGCACAACCATTTTAAGGCAACCTGTTCTATTTTGGCTCTTTGTCAGTATTTAGGAATAGTTTCAGATTAAAAAAAAAAATCAAAGAACAGCCCTACCTAGGAACATAATAAGTGGGATTAGTCTGACTAAATGTGGGCACCTGTATCTGAACAGGTGAAAATCTCTTGGTATTATTCATTAGCTTTCCCTGGTGTACTAAAGGAGCTTGGTGTGTAATTAATATAATTCTGAGTTAGATGACTGTGCTAGTCAGATGAATCACTCCACTCTCGACTACATCTCCATTGATTATAATGGGAGCCTTGCCAGCAAGGTGTTTGTGGAGCCTAGGTACCTACATCAGCTAAAGTTGGGACAAGTCAAGTGAGATTCACGGCACCTTTGCTAAAGATAAGTTTTGCTCTGTTCTCAGACTTGCTCATATAGTGATGATGAAAACGTGAAGGAGGAAAAAAAAGGAAAAAATAGGCTTTTATGTGACAGTATTGATCTAAACTGTGTCATAGGCCTCTTCCTTAGGCCTAGTCTCCACCACAAAGCCATACTGAAGAATATTTGATTTCCTATTTTTCACTAAAATAGGATAAAGAGTTTCAGACAGAGTTCTTTACATTGTAAAAATGTAACCCTTCCAGAAAGGTTCCAAGTATTGTTTAATACCATCTGCCATCTAATGGAACTATCTCACCTACCTATTTTGTATGGATTGTTTCAGGATCGAAATAGTTTCACACTGAAGCTGGAAGATACAGAAAATTGGCTTTATGAAGATGGTGAAGACCAACCTAAACAAATTTACATTGATAAATTGGCGGAATTGAAGGTAAGTGGTTCTTGCATTCGCATCGGAATTTACTGGATCTAGAGAAATTTGTTCAAGCAGAGAGCTGTCTTGGGTCTACTGATTCAGAGACTAGCACTGGTAACAAGCTACTTAGTTTGCTTATCAAGTATATGAGGAGCAGATCTCCAACAGACCTGTAACAATACAGGGTTGAGGGAGACTCAGTCCCTCTTCTAAGAGAGGGAGGAGTAAAGGAGTTCAGAAATGTTGATGTATCCTGTCAAATCTTGCAGGATTATATTGTGATGCTGCATGGTTTTTGATATCTGTTGTACTTTGTTTCAGACTCTGGGTCAACCTATTCAGGCAAGATTTCAAGAATCGGAGGAAAGACCAAAAGCATTTGAGGACTTAGGGAAGCAAATTCAACAGTACATGAAAACTGTTCATGCATTCAAGGCAAAGGTATTTCCATACTTAATTTCTGGCAAATGCAAGGAAGTGGTACAAATCTTTTCTGAATCTTAAGTAAGCTCCTTAAAAAGGTAGTGCAACCTCCTGGCTAGCTTCTGAGTTCTTGGTGTTTACCATATTTTCAGAAGTGGATGTTGGCTTGAAAATCTGACAGTCTTTTTTTAATTGGGTGTTGATTTCCTCATGGAGGGAAAATGCTGGCAGCAGTAGAACTTCAGTTCTATAGTTACAGAGCTGTGGGTGATCAGCTTAATTGCTCTGCTAACTAGAACAGCCTTCTGGCTAAATGGCCTTTTCAGTATTTTGAAGCTAAAAATTTGAAGAAATAAGCATGCAATTTAGATGTTCAAAACAAATATTTGCACAGCTACTACTAATTTGGCTGTTTCAGGATGAACAGTACGACCATCTAGATGAAGCAGATATAGCAAAAGTGGAGAAGAGTGCAAATGAAGCTATGGAGTGGATGAACAATAAACTTAATCTTCAAAACAAGAGAAGTCTTACTTTGGACCCAGTTATAAAAGCTAAAGACATACAAGCTAAAACTAAAGTAAGTCTTTCTACATTATTTGCTGTATTTCCATGAATCTTTCTGTTTTTTGGTCTAGTTGTTTTGCTCAGATGAAAACTCTGAGGTGAGAAATCTGTAGTAGAAGGCGTGTGATTGATTGAGTATTAATCTGTTAAACATGTATTGGGGGACATCAGCTGTCAACTTCTGGTGATCTCAAAAGTTAATTTGAGCAACGGGTTAAAGTACAACTGTTAGTAGATAAAAGCATTTCTAACAGTGTTTTATTTCTATGTTTTCTAGGAATTGACAAGTATTTGTAATCCTATAGTCACAAAACCAAAACCCAAAGTTGAACTCCCGAAGGAGGAGCAGAAACCAGCTGAACCGAATGGACCAGTAGAAGGCCAGGGAGATGCCAACAGCGGGTCCCAGGCTGCCGAACAGAGCACTGCTGCGGCTGCCCCACCAGCCATGGAGAAGAAGCTTCCTGAAATGGACATTGACTGAATTTCAGCACTTGTTTATATTATTGCAAACTACAATAAAGCTTTAAGTTGTGAACTTTGTATGTTCTGAATACGAATTGAAGCAAGTGAATACCACAGCACTCTTAGGCATTTTTGGAGAGGTTTGGTCAATGCATCAAGTCAGAACACTTAGGTAGCTAACTACTCAGTCAAATAAGCAGTATTTCTTGCCCTTATGATTGTATTTAGAAGTTTTGGTATTCTTATTAGACCTACAGGAACAGCCATAAGCTGATTCTCCATTTTTAGTGTCCAGTCAATCTTACATTAAAGTAGTGAGACAGCAACCTCTGAAGTCCAACTTGGCACACTTTGTTCACTTTCTCTTGCGGGTTATAGCAACAGTGTTTATGTAACACTAGGACTGCAAGAAGATAATGGGGGAGAGGGGGTGCTCCTTCTAGAGCCTGAAGTATAGTCTTTCACTTGCTCATCTTAATCTAGTGCTTGTTTTAGTGTTAATGTACTACTCTAGGTTTACTTTGATTTGCACTTGAACAGTTTATAGTTACACAAGGTTTGCAAAGCAGCAGGTGGTAGTATCGGTACGTTTATTCCCTCACATCATGGATGGTCAGCCCAGGCTCAGATTCATTTATGAGATACATAGAGTAGCAGCTCCTGCAGCTCAGGCTGTGAATGTGCTCTTAGATATGAAAGTGTATTCCTGGCAAACTCCCAGGCTAATTAGGCCATGTAAACTTTTTGCCTCTGTTTAAATTAGCTGCTTGTAGAAAGAATGAATACTTGTATTTCAGCTGCCTACACTGATAGTTGATTCTGACTTGTTCATAGCTCTTTCTGAAGGGGGTGTGCTTGCTTCCATGAGGCCTTCATTTGGAATGCTTGGTTTTTTGTTTTGGTTCCCCCCCCCCTCAAGGAAAAAGACCTGACAGACTTGGGTTTTTTTTTTGCTTCTAGTGTTGATTGTCATTAAACTTGCAACCATTAATTTGTATGTGTTAAAATCCAAAGCTGAAACACCCGTTCAGATACTGCAAGAAATAAATGCACTGGATTCTACTGGATCACCTTCTCCAGCTGTTGATTGCGATGAAGAGAAAACTTTCTTGGGGTAGACGTAAGGGTTTTTGGAGGTGTGCAAAGAGCTCTGCCCTGCTGCTTTAATGCTTTTCTTGCTGACAAGGGTGAAGTTGTGCTTGACAGACTAATGAAGTAGAGCTAATAAATACTGGGGGGTTCTGTACGGGCTAAGAGTACGTGTCAGAG